CAACTTTTCGGAATTCACAAATTCCGTTCCGTACAAAATTAAAAAATATAATAATAAATAAAAAATGTACGGAGCAAAAAAAAATACGGTACGAATTGAAAGTTGTACGGAATCTCTACTGACTGAATTCATTTGTCCATAAAAAAAATTGCAAGCCATGTGCCCACTAATTTATCATTGGTCCAAATTATTTATGGAAACAATTAATTGATCTAAATCAATAAAAAAAAATTCTAAAATCTTTTTTTATTTTAAAATGGCAACTTACGAAGGAATTGAACAAGAATTAAAAGATGTTAAGGAGAGGTTCACGAAGGCAGTGGAGGAGTTAAATCAGTTCAAGGAAGGGGAAAATGACGGGAAGTGGTTAGAAGACTTGAGGGGAAAGGCGAGAAGTGGAGAACTTAATGAAGAGGGGAAGCAGGAGAAGAAAAGACTGGAGGAAGAAGAGAAGAGGTTGAAGAAGAAGGTGAACGATTGGGATGAGCGTGTAGGGAGGTTTCAGGATGCATTACTAGAATTTAACAAGGGAGGAGGTAATGAACAAATTGTATAAAAAAATATACAAAAAATTATTTTCCATTCATTCATTTATTTATTTGTATACTGTTGACTTTAACTAACTTGTGGTTTTTTTCCTTCAATATTTCGACTTTGATTCTTTTTGGATTACTTTTATTCTTCACCAATTCATTTCGGAATTATTCATTGTTCATTTTTAGTCAATGAAGGTAAGCATTTATATACTGTTATTTATGTTGCTGATTAGTTTGTTAATTAACTTATGCTCTTGGATTATTTGTGTTTGAATATTCCAATGAATATTTTGCTTTATTTATCATCAAATTTATTGTAAGTTTTCCTATTAGATGAGTTGGAATACCTGCCACCAGAACCACTTCTTAGAACAAGTGGATATTCTTGGGATTATCAAAAATCAGATGATTTGAGGGAACTATTAAGAACTACCATAACTGAATACTACAAAAATTACACAAAACAGCAACTGGATAAAATCACCACACCACTATTTTTTATGATTGCTGGTGCAGGAGAAGGAAAATCTAGGAATGCAAATGAGTTACCAAATATATTGCATGAAGAGTTTGCTTCCCATGAAGAACTGAAAAAACGATTTGAAAACGCATTAATATTTAACATCTCTTTTGAAAATGTTACTAAAATAGACCTATCAGAAGAACATAGTGCTGTAACTGCCATTGCAAAACGAATGCTTTTTCAGCTAGAAAAACACAAAGGTGGCTGGATGGAAGCACTTCGAAAATATCCAGATGTATCGCCAGATGGAGTAGTGTCAAAGATTGCTAAACATCAAAATGTCCAACCCAAGGATTTGACCATCATTATTGTGATTGATGGGATGCAAGCAGCAATTCACCAGGAAGATGATGGAGTAAATAAACCATCACTATTCTATTCATGTATGACAGTTTTGAATAACTTTGCTGCATCAGGACCATTTGTGATAGGATGTTGCACAGCAACGCTTAGCAGACCTTTTCATGTTTTTGTGAGTGCTTCACATCAAAAGCGAGTGTTTTTACCAATACCATCTTTATCACCACCAAAGAGACAAGGAATGCCTGTTTTTGTTAACAATAATCTTATTGACATGCTTGTTAGTGATATGGGAGGTCATGGTCGGGCATTAGAGGCACTAGATGAAGCCCTTAATGATAAAGATTTAGACAAAGTTAGCTTTCTAACCATAATGGAAGGTGTTTATGCAAAATTATCAGATCTTTACAATGAGTGGATTAACCAAACATCTTATTTGAAGCCAATTCTTCGTATAATTCTAACACAAGTTATAGTAGAAGCAAATAAAGTTATTCCAGGGACTAACTTAAAACCAGAAGACTTTTCAAAATTGGGTCTAATTAAGTTTGAAAATGACAAAGGTATGAAAAATTGTGGATGTCTAACCTGTCCATATATATGGCTTTGGCTTTTATCAAATGCATCAGAGGACCCCACATTGCAGAGCTGGAATTTTAAATACTACCAAGAAGTTCAACACAATAAAGATTTATTAGTACCTCCTGGATGTCAATACTGGCAGCATTTTGAAGAGTTTATTGGAAGGATTTGAGTTTTAAAATCACAGGTTTTTGATCCTAATCAACATGTTGACTTGAAGGAAATTCATAGTGGAGCATGGCATAATTTTGAAGACATAAAGATTATAAACAAAGCCTTAACACTAGAGAAAACTACATTATGGACCAGTACAAAATCAAGTAGTGGTACAAGGACAGTGCAATGTGAAAAGGTTAATGTACAATTGGCAGAAGCATCCCATTGTATTATTAATAAACCTAATGCACCTTATGGAGATTGTTTTTGTCCCATTTACATTGCTAATTCACAAAATTTTTGCATTGAGAGTCATCAGTGTAAATTGATTAAAGCATCTGCAGCAATCAATGAATAATTGTTTACAGAAGAATATAATAAGGCAGCTGAACCTGGGACAGATGTGTTTATCTTGTTCACAACTGGAAAATTTGATATCACATCACTTCAGGGTTGGCAAATTGACTGGTCCATTGAAAACAGATGGATTTGGACTGGTCCATTGTCATTAGTAAAATACTAAATATGGTTAAAGTGTTACACTAATGGACCCAATGGACCACCAATAGACCATCAATGGACCACACATTTGTCAACCCTGCATCACTTCCACCAAGGTCAGCAATTGTGGATAGCAAAGTGTGGAATTCATATTTTGGTCCTTTTTCTGGGCATGCATTTATTTATTCCCAACAAAATCCACCAAATATAAATAAAGCAGTCTATACTGTTTTGACAGCAATAACAGGGATTGGTACAAATGTGCAGATGTCATAATGGATGAATGAAAAAAACATCAATTTACAGATATTGAAGATTGTAATAGGCAAACAAAAATACCAAAAAATATATTAACAAATTTCCATTTTTAGATCAAATGCTGATTAAATCTATTCCTATTTTTATACCTCATATTTTTCTGATTCAAGAGTCCTTTTTCATTGTGTTCTGTATCAAGAATTTTATTATAATTTATTTTATCATTTTTTCAACTGTTTTATTAAACAATAATAAATAAAAATTATCCTTTATTGCTCTAGTTGAAATTTATTATATAAAGAAATTTGAAAATGCTCATTTCACAAAGTCCAAATTTAATTGAAAAACCTTACAAAGCGGACATAAATTTTATATATAGGGATAAGTGTATATGGAAAATAATAATCATAATGGTTCTAATGGCAATTGATTTTTTAGAAAAATGATGTAATTGTGGTTGCTCTTCAAGAATTCCTAAGGAAGAATTTGCAGAATTAAGGGAATCCTTTCAAGCTCTTTCTAGACCAGAACAAGACATATTTTTAATGGCCCAGCTTAAGGCAATGGATGGTGGATTAACAAGCACTAGCAGATGCCTTAAAAAGAAAACCAGATCTAACAAAAAAACTTTCTACCATTGAGATCACAATACACATCTTTGTCAAGGAACTTATCTCAATATGTTAGGAATTGGCAGAACTTACTTTAAAAATATTAGAAATCATCTGATAAACAATGGCCTTCTGCCAAGAATTCATGGTAATATTAAAAGGATGCCTCAATGAAAAACCAAGATGGTGATTGATAAAAATGTTGCAGAAGTAGTAAGAATTTTCTAGAAAATTATGCAGAATTTTATGGATTACCAAGTCCAGGAAGAAGTAACAATAAAATAACTCAATCAATTGTATTCTTACCAGCTGAAATGAGTTATAAATCTGCATAGAGGTTTTCTGGCTGGTCTGAAAAAAAATAGTGATTTGAAATCCTTGAAATATGATGCCTTTAGAAAATTATGACATCAATTGATACCAGAAATTCAAATTATGAGTCCAAGAACTGATTTGTGTGATACTTGTCAACATTTTAGAGATGGTTTACATTACAATGCTTGCCAAGAAGAAGAAGCTAAAGATTTACTCAAAAGATTTAAGGAACATTTATCCAAGGCAAAATTAGAAAGAAATTATTATAATAAAAACACTAAATTAGCAGAAGGACAAAGAAAATTCCAAGGGTAAAACACAATATTGTAGTGTTGATGCCACTGCCCATTATAGTTATGATTGAGCCCAAAATGTTCATGTACCCCATTTAGATCAACAAGTAAGTAAAATCTATTACCTTAGTCCATGTAACATATTGCACAGTATTAAAAGTTACTGAGAAAACTAATCACACAATGTAGGAGTTTAAATTTATAGATTTAATAGCCATTAACTAATTCACTATTATTGTTGACAATATACATATAGTAGCTAAATTTATCTATTATAGATTG